TGCAAATGGAAGCATAAATCCTTTTTGCCGATGGTTTTCTTTGAGATTATGCGTGTTGAGAAGTATCTGTCAAGGAAACTACGGCACTTTGCCGGGTATTTGACTTTTACTCTTTTCTGGAGGCTGCAAAGATAGTCACGTCAGAGTTCGAATCTTTAGCACAATTCATATATTCGAAAAAAATTCAGAAATGAATAGATGTATCTATCACCTCCATTAGTTGGATTAATGGATCACCCATCGCTCGCCTCTCTCACAAAGAAAGAAAATCATGCAGAACGGCATAGAAAATGTGTTCCTGTCTACATTTTGCAAAATCTACAATGGCAGCGAAAGAGTTCACCTAGCTGTTAATGGAAGACTATGGGGCCGTTCTCTCTTAAATTTTGCCCAAGACTTGATTTGAGGGATCGTTTGAAAGAGCAACCTTACATGATGCTTAAGAGGTGTGGTCAAATTTTGATACTATAACTCGTGGGATCTCATGGCCCTTGAGACTGCAAAGAGTTCTAAATCCCCTGCCCTCATGTTTCTGCTGGACCAAAATTCTAGTCCCAGTTAAGTTGGTGAAATTTGCAGAACTCCCTAATTTTATATTCCCACTAATAACCGAAATTTGTTGGCGTGGTATTTGGACAAAAGGCACATCACCTATAAACCGTTCATCAAGAGCCAGATTCAGGAAGCATTCTGATGACTGAACCAACCAGTTTGTCCTATCGTCTTAAACTCTTAATAAGATAAAGACCCTGTCTGTCTCCTTTTAAAACAACACACTTTAATTTTCATACTCATTTCAACCACACATTTATAACCTGTTTGATCCCAATTAAATTAAATTACATTACATTTCATTTTTCTCTCTCCTATTTTCAACCACACAATCTTCCATAAAATAATATTACAGGTAAATCGAAAATTTTTACTTCTTTTTCAACCACTCATTTTCTAAAAAATACTATTCCCCCCATTTCCATTTTCAAGTAATAGGGGTCAAACAGGGCTTACATTATAAAATATTTTGCACGTAAACCCATAACTTTTCCCTACCTTTTAACTACACATTTGCAAAAAAAATCTCTTTTCAAAGCATCATTTTTTTTTCAAAATAATGGCCATCAAACAAGGGCTAGATGAGCTGACTTGGAATAACCCTGAAACAAGTTCAACAAAAGGAGAAGGTTGTGAAAATCTTGTTTGAAATCTGAAATTTGGCAAAAAATAAAAAATGCACTTGGATCATAATATGTAAGCCAATAGAACTGCTTTCTTGACTAGGAACCATCAGTTACAGGTGTTTCTGCTGGTTCTTGTTCATTTTCATTTTCCAGTGGTTCACATAACATTCGATTAGATTTATATTTTTTTTGGGTACTTGAGAGCTACACGAAAATTCCCTCCTAACCTCTGTAGCTCCCCTAGGCATTTTCCCATATAATCCTAAAGATATAGGCATATTTAACAATGTTGTGTTGGATCACATTCGATTGTAAAATTTTACTGGTTAGATATATGGCTCATAATGATAATTGTGTTTGAGCCAAATTTATTAAGTGATCAATTGTGCATTTTAACACCTTACGGGTTGTAATTAATTTGATGTGGTAATTTAAAATATGTGGGTCGGAAATAAACCCTAATTAGAATTCTAGTCGTAATGGGACGGCTCAAATTATTTCCTATATATAAAGGCTAGGTCCCCTCTCCTCTCCATATGTGTTTTCATTAGTTTGCCATATTGATAGCTAATACTTTTGTGAGGAGCAAGGGGGGGAAGATCTTATCTACTACTACAACTATAATTCATATTAACAATGGTTTCCGCAGGTATGAATTCGTTTCTATTAAATTTATTGGATTGTGATTATCGATTCTTAACATGATTAAAACTAAATATTAACAATTGGTATCAGAGCGGTATGCTAAGATCGAAATCCTTCATGATTTTTTTTTTCACTTTTCTGTTCATATATATTTTCGTGTATGCATATTTGTATAATTCAGCAATCAAAAGGAAAACCAAAACCCCAAACTTGCAAAAGCCAAAACCCTTCTGCTGCTGCGTTTCAGGAGGCGTTTTTATCCCTCCTGCCTAAGTTAAATGGAGGGTTTTTGCATTCCCCCCTATCCTAGTATATTGATTGAAAGAATTTTACAAATAAGGAGGGGGAGACACTTCAATTATTGATGATCTTAATATTTCCCAGCAGGATGACAGAAATTTTCATTATTAGAAAGTATCCAGAAGACAGCAGGATTTTTCTAGTTTTTGGGATCAATTTAGATTTTTGTCGGAAGTCAATAATCCAAGCAAGAATTAATTTGAAATATCCACATAGGACAATCATACCTTTTAGATCCCAACTCTAAGGATCAGTTCTGGAAATATTTGTATTCACAAAGTTGAATTTGTAAAATGGGTTTTGTGCTAAGAGCCACCGGTACCCATAATCTATTTCAACGGGCTGCCGACTTTAATTGCAGACTTATGTTGAAATAATTTTGTTTTTTCATGTTGTCTAAACTTCTTGTTGGCTATTTGTTCTGTGGTTGCATATTGCTGTAAAAAAATTCTTCGTCTGGTCATGAAAATTGTAGTTGGTGTCGACCGCCGTTTGCACCAATCTGTA